TTTGTAGCTTGTAAAGAAGGCTTCCATCGGAAGCTTCTACATGACATTTTCTTGAGAGTTCTAGAATGCTCCTAAGGAGCCTATAAATAGGGGAGGTGCTCATTTGCTCCAAACCATCTAAGAGTTGTCAAGCTTTCTCAAAGTGAATACAAGACATTCTCTCAAACTCTCTTTGTCTTCCTACTTGTCTTCTTGCAAGTTCGTGAGTTAGGCTGACTTAGCATCATCAAGTCAAGCTTAAGATTGTCTAAGTGCCGCAGGGATAGCTTGGAAACAACCTAGGCCGTGACACGTTAAATTATCTCAGTACACCCAATTTAAATTTTTAAATTTTAATTTCTATTATACCTAATATGAATTTACTAATAAAGACAACACATATTAAATATTAAAATAAAATATTATTCTTTCTCATGGTATACCTTAATCAATTATATCTTTTCTTATTCAATCTCCTCATCTTCTTCTCCAAGTTTTAATTATTTTCTTTTCTTCTTCTTTTTCACTCCAAAATTTCAATCCACTCCACCAAAACACACCATTATTATCAACATCATTATTTTTTATTATATTATTAGTTGCACTTAAAAAACCTACAGCTTTCAATGAACATTTGATTATATATATATATATATATATTTGTATATCTTAGTATATATACATGGTCTTCATTTATCAAACTTAAGCTTCAAATTTCACTTATTTCGACTTATATACATCAACCCTAAATTTGTGTTTTTGTTTCTTATTTTACTAAATCATGAATTTTGTTTGTTCTAATCATGTGGATTAACAGTCAAATCTCGCCATTAATGTAAAATCGCAATCTTTTGGTGTATTATTATGCAAACTAGGTTAAATATAATGAACTTATATATATATATATATATATATCCATGTATATGTATATGTATATATCAAAATCAAGCTTTAATTTTGACTGATTTAAGCTAATATCCATTACGTTGGTTACCTGAAAAAAATAATGTGTATTAGATTAACAACCAAACAAGTCACTAATCCTAACCTCAAAAGAAAAGTTTTTCAAAAATAATTTGAAAATTTTAATTTATTTTATTTGGGTGTACTTCAAAAGGGTAATTTGGGGAGAAAAAAAAAGGTGTATTGAAAATAAATTGTAACCCTAAATAATTTAATAGGGTGTATTAAAAAATTGGGCTCACTTAAATAATTTTTGGGTGTAAATAAAATTCTCCCAGATTCCTAATCCGGTTTATCAATTTATAACTAAACAATAGATTCCATAATCCAATGGACATGAGTCCAATCCTTTCCTCCAATCCCTCCAAACAAATACACCATGAAAGCATAGAATTCTCTCCATAAAGCCCACTGAATCCTAAACACTCAACTACTAAAAATGCACAGTTGACAAATAATAAAAGGTCATTTTAGTCATTGTGAGATCGTTAATGCGTAAATTACACTTGACTCCATTCAACTATTGTCTTTTATCATTTTGTCCACCTCTACTATAAATTATAACAACTAACTTCCGTCATCTACTCTTTTTATTTTGTATCCCCTTAAACTATCACCCAATATTATTTTGAATTTGGATCTTTTTATTTTTATTTTTTTCATTTTATCACTAAATTATTTTTAGTTTGTTAAAAAATAAAAATAAAAATAAAAGTTGAAAACCAAACCAAACAAAGCAAAAATTTTATGAAGAAATCTATATAAAAAAAAAAGAGTTAACTAAAGGCAAAAAAAAATTGCAAAAAATATACTAGTTTTTTGTTTTTTTTTATTTTTTTCGTCTTTAGTGATTTTTTCAAAAAATTATTCACAAATATTTAACTTTTTGGTGCATCTAAAAATTTAAATTTTCCGACTAAAATATAAAAAAATTTACTATCTCTCTCTCTCTCTCTCTCTCTCTTTTATTTCATATCTGCAGACTCTCTCTTTTCCCTCTATTCTCTCTCTTGTTCTTTTCATCACCGTTTTTTATCTCTCTCTTTCTCCCTCCCACTCACTCAGAGTCTCTCTCTCACTCTCGCACCTCTCCTCCCCCTCAACGCCACCGTCTCTGTCGCCTCGCACCGCCATTCTCTTCCGTTGTTCGTTGCAGCCACCGTCGTCCACCTTCGTTATCCATCACCTTCGTCTATCACCGTCGTCCATCGCAGCCATTGTCGTCTACCTTCGTCACAGTCACCATCACCGATCGCAGCCACCATCGTCCACCTTCATCATAGTCACCATCGCCGATCGCAGCCACCGTCGTCCACATTCTTCGTAGTCACCATCGCCGATCTCAAATTTGTTTGATGACACACAGATCTCAGATCTGTGTTGATTGATGATGCACACTCAGATCTGTGTTGATGTGCATGTATACATGTAGGTGTGTGTCTCTATTTGTCTATTTTTTTTTTTTATAGTTGATGCACAGAGTGTTGATGATGATTTTGTTGTTGAGAATTTTGTCTCCACTTCTTATTGATGATTTTTTTGATGATGTTCTTGATGATTTTGTTGATGTTAAAAGTTGTTGATGATGTTGAAACAGATTTGGGCGGGAAATTTTCGGGGTCGGGGAAACCTGATCCCCGTTAGGGGGCAGGGATGGGGACGGTGATAGGTTCCCCGTCGGGGATCGGGACCGGGGATGGGAAATTTTTACCGTCGGGGATTAGGGACGGAGAGTGTGATCCCCAGCCCCACCCCGCCCCGTTGCCATTCCTAAAGACAAGAGCTCTTGGAAGAAATAATGTCATCTTTACTGCTAAATCCAAGTAAACAATTCGGAGGTTGCAATAACGTTAAAATATCAAAACATGCATTAGAGTTTCTTCAATGTTGGGAAAATCAGAGACAAATGTGAATCAAAACAAAGATCCTCTGAAAACAAAGAAATCAAAAGACCCTAAGAACATTTGAAGAGCAGTACCAATTTATTCAAACACATAATTCTTCAGTTACCAAGAATTTGAGCTTTAAGTAGGTTCATAACAAAAGAATATACAAGAAAAGAGGTTATAATTTGCCCAAAATCTCTACTAAAACTATTACGACAATTGTGACCATGTTTAATTGTGAGTTAATTCAATATCTTATTTTGAGGTTCTTATTTCCAATGGTTATCAATAACGCAGTTGATTCAATTCCAATAGCAAATCAAATTATGTTGATCAAAATATATTAAAAATCTAAAGAGGCTTTTGTTTTTTGTTTTTTTTTGAAGGTTTGACAAAGAGAAAATGGCTTGATGCAACTAAGCTATATTCTAAATGTCCAAAATTAAGATTAAAAAAAAGAAAAGAAAAAAGAATGATATCATGAGAGAAGAAATTATGCCCAGATTTTTAAAAGCTGTAAAATTTCCTATAGAGATACAATGGGGGTGTTTGATGGGGCTTTTTTGAGCCAACTTATGGCTTCTGGCTTTTAAAAAATTATTTTGGACTGTTTGGCTAAACTTATTTCAAACAGATTCTGATTTTAATAACTTATTTTAAGTCAAAAAAGCTGATTATGAGAAGCTGCTAATCCCTTACTTTTAATTATCAGTTTCTGCTGTGGACATGTTAATTCACGGTTATATTCTTAAATTTTTTTTATTTTTTATTTTTTTTAAAAATAAAAAAAGATCCAAATGGACTATAAAATATTATTATTATTTTTTATGAGAAATGTAGACAAATAGTGAATAATAAAAAATAAAAGTTAATTGAAAAATCTACTTCATAGCTTATTTAAAAAATACTACTCATCAACTTAAATCTATAATCCAACAGCTATACCAAACATATTAGCAGCTTCTGATTAAAGTCATAATGTATAATCTGTTAAGGTATAATCTATAATCTGTTTTAACAGCTACACCAAACAAAACCACATAGACCAGATTATGTTTAAAATTTGTCTAGAACTAAGATTTATAGAAACATTGGTAGCGTTTGGTAGAGTTTTGTAAATGTGATTTGAGAGTATGAGTTGTATTTTGAATTTGTGTGTTATGAAATTATGATTTGCGTGTAGAAAATTTGTTTGGTAAAGAGTTTTGAAAATAGTTTTGAAAAGGGTTTTAATTTGAGTGGAGAATTATTGATGTTACATTTGATATGTGATACAAAAATTTACAACTCATAACTAAACATACAACTCAAAATTATTTTAAAGCACATAAAAAATTTTAAAAATTTCAGAAAATATTTTTCCCGATTATATAAAAATTAACATATAAATGGCAAAAAAAAAATCACTATTCCAGTCAACCGGCCGGACAACCGGTCAGGCAAAATTTTGAAAAAAAAAAATTCTGAAAAGCACGACTGAGACAGAGCTCTCTGCAGAGTTTTGGAAACGTGATTCCAAAACTCCTACCAAACACCATACTTGAATCAATGTGCAGAATCATGATTTGAGAATACAACCAAACACAACTTTTATCTTTAAAAACCCACTACATATCACTATTATTAAAATATTTTTAGTGATTTTTTTTTTTTTGTGCACTTTTATTTTTATAGATTCTACTTAGAACTGTACACAGTACTGTCAAAATTGCCAAAACAACATTGGCCCGTTTGGTAGAGTTGTGAGAAAGTGATTATAACTTATACCCTAACAGCTCATACCTTATAACTGTGAATATAACATGATTTTTGACTTATAAATTAAGCTTCTCCTTCCCCATTCAAAGAATAAGTTAATTTTTTACTTACAAAAAGTTATAAGTTGTATTATTAAACTGAACCAAATACATCAAAATAATTTAAATTAAGTCAAAAACTAAAATAAATTAGAAGTAAACTCTACCAAATAAGGCCATTGCACTGCACCAAACCAAGCCGACCTGTGTCTTTGGTTTTTGGCGGACTGGTTGGTGGGTTGGGTGTCTAGAACATGCGAGTTAGTGCGAGTGGCGGTTGGAGAAATGCAACCCAACTAAGCTACCCGACCCGACCCGACCCGACCCATTCACTCTCTTATTTATTTATTTTTATTATATATGTGTATACACACAAACTGCAAATTAAACCCTAACGCCCCTCATCTCATCCTATTTAAGCGCCTCTTGCATCTCGCCACTTGTAGACGATGGCCACTGATCGACTCGCCTTTGCCGCCAATCGCCACCGATCGTCTCCCCTCTGGCACCGTTCACCTCGCCTCTCACATATCCGTGGTTGTACTCTTGCTAGTCGCCACCTTTGGCCTTTCTGGCGTTGCTTTTCCACTCGTCACTGCTGTTTTTTCCAGATTTGGTACATGGCTATCTCTATGCTCTCTCTTTGGTTTATGTTTTCTCTTCTCTCTCTCTCTGGTTTATGTTTTGCCTTTGCTCTCTCTTTGGTTTATGTTTTCTCTTCGCTCTCTCTCTAGTGTGCAATAGATCTCTCTCCGACGATTGAAGCTCTCTCTTCTCCATCTTATGCTCAGTCTGGCTGCGAGCAACTTCAAGTTCTCAGTTCTCACTCTCAGTCCGACGGTGAAGCTCCAGATTTCAGGTAACTACTCTCTTTTATAGTGTACTTTTCATATGGGTCTTGCTCTATTTCTGCTTTTTCTCCCCTGCTTTGACAGTTTTTTAACTATTTGTGTGATCTTGATTCTTGAGACGACATATTAACATAATATTTTAATGCTATTAAATTACTAAAAATTATCATTGATGGTCAAAAGAATAGATTTTTTTCATTTATGTTGCCTTCACCTGTTCCATGAAACCTTCTGATTAAAGGATCTATCTGTAGTGTTGTTGAATTGTAAAATAATAAAAATAGAAAACAAAATTGTGTTTAGAGAGAAACAAAATTGTAAAATACCGATTATTTTGTATTGACAAGAATTGTATTTAGATATTAGATTTGTGGAAAAAGAAAAGGAAATGTATAAAAGCAGTAATTTTTTTTTTTAATTTTCTTTTCTAAACAAGGATAAAAGCAGTATGAGTAAGGGTTTTTCCTTACTAGATCTGTTGAATATAATTATTTGCTTGAAGATATATGTAGTGATATATATAGAACATCAGAGAAACAATCTGCTTAACTTATTCCATTTTAACTATTTTACTTAAATTAATTTTTTTTACTCTTTGATTCAAGTTTTGTAATTTGAATTATGTTTTCTTTTTTATAAATCGCCAATCTGCCCGAACCACCAAGTCGAAACCGCCATTATTTGCCAACTGAATCGCTGGTTTTAATATGTCATCCAGTTGTATTTCAACCCTGAGAGCAAGGTTGATTTTAAGGGGTAAATTCGGATTATTTTAGCATATTATAATTTTTATTTTATTATTATTATTTGTTATCTAGTAATTAGAAGTTCAGTCCCCTTTTCGTAACAAAATTAACACATTAACACAAATAAATAAATAAATAAAGAAGAAAAAAAAATTGACAAAAAGAAGAGGAAGAAATTGAAAAAAAAAGAGAGAAGAAATTGGAAAGAGACCCACCCTGAGGGGGAAACCTCTGTTGAATGTTGGTTCAATCAAGTTAAATCTGACCTTCATAAACGTATAACAATCCACTACCGCTTCACATGTAACCTAACCTATAACTCACTAATGTTAGAACTCCTAATGACTAGATAATTAATAATAACCAGGGTAAACTACCAATAGGTCCTAATAGTTGGACTTAATTCCCATAAAGTCTTGGTAAAATTGTCGTTAAAAATAATTTTTTTGTGATAATAGTTAGTGATTTTTTTTTGTCATGATTTTTATAAATGGCCGCTAAAATTTACAATTAGTGACTTTTTTTATGACAAATTTTTCTCATAGGACCTATTAGACAATAAGTCTACTTATTAGGACTTACATGTAAGTACTCTTAATAACTAACAAAACAACAATTATAATATTCTAAATAAATACAAATGGATCAAATATATTATTTTTAAGTTTTTTGATTATGCACGAAACAAATAGTTTGAGACAAAGTGAATATTTATTCATGTATATTTGATTCAATTGGATTTTAAATTTAGTTTAATTTATTTCCTTATATGTAGGTAAATTTGTAAGTACAATGTGAACTTCATTTAGGTTTATGGTTACGAGAATTTAAATGAGAAATGCTATGGTACCATATTCATGTGGATACATTCATAGAAACTACTATATTCATAGATAGAGCAAACCTGGATACTTTATGATCATGAGCCACCTATTACAAGGTCCTCTAGTCTAAACAAAACAAGAGTTAAGAAAAGACAACAAATATATGACAATCAGTAAGCATAACCTCTGTTTTAGCACCAGTTCTATGCATAAAATTTAACTCATGAACAACTTGTCGAGCTTCACTTTCAACAATAATTACTTGAACAAGTGGCAAATGCACGCTGCGTTTATCCATCAAGCAGATCCGATGGTAGCCACGTTTAATGTCGACAAATTGATTCACCATCATTTCAACTATCTGAATTGGGTTTTCTATGTTTTAAGCTCAATTCCGTCAACTATGCGTGAACTTTAGCACTCAAAGAAACATTTGTTTCTAAACATAAGTTCCGTCAATATGAAGTGTGATTACTACAGCTTTTAAAACAGAATTTAAGCTTTGATAGTTGAGAGACATTGAATGACACAGCGTGTTTTGTGGTTCCTTAAGAGCAACTAACCCTAGTTACTATTGCAAGTCATAAGCATCAATGAAAAAAAAATAAAAAATAAAAATAAGAGATAAAATAATTTCCAAAAACTAAAGCCAAATAAAACGATCACACATCCTAGCAAACATAGTATATACCTAGCAAACTTAAGACATGACAGAGGAACGTGTACATAATAATGACCACCTATTACATCCATTAATTAGTTTCAAATAGTATAGCCATGTTAGTCTCGACTAATTGTCAGTAGTCCATGATTCAATCAGCTGAGCTAAATTTAAACTTTTCTTATCAACACAAATATTCACAAAAGGCAATAAGTTGCGGCAAGACATAAATAATCAAAATTTTCTTTATAAAACCATAACGATATAACAAAATAGCACTTATAAAATATCATCCAACAAATCCTAGTGGACCTACCGAGCCTATAGAGAGCAACTAAGCTAAATTTAAACTCTTCTTATCAGCACAAATATTCACGAAAGGCAATAAGTTGTTGCAACACATAAACAATCAAAATTTTCCTTTATAAAATCATAACGATAATGATAACAGTTACAAAACTTCAATAGCACTCATAAAATATCATCCAACAAGTCCTAATGACCTACCAAGCCTATAGAGAGCAACTGGGGCAACATAGATTCAGCCATAAAACATTAAAATAACATAGAAACAACTCTACCAAGGCTTAAATGAACTTCAAAATCACATAATCATAGAAATTACTACTGGAAAAACAAAATCAAATCTTTCTTGAAAGTGAAAGGAACTGTATGAAGCCGGATTTTCAGTTCTTTCTTCAAATCAATTACTAAATTCAATTAGACATTTTTGCAAGCACTTGGAGCACATCTTACAACCCAGAATTCAAACCAACAATTACTATTATTTGTTGCCAAAATCAAGGTAAAAAAGAAGCAGAAATGCAATAATACAAGGTATATTTTTTTTAAAGATGTTGTGTGAGTCACAAAATTGCTTAATCAAACTAAAATGTCAGTGACATTTAAATTAACAGTTACCCTGCAATTGTAAAGCAAGTCTCACACCCCCATAAAAAATTTAACCGAGAATAAAAAGAAATTCAGAAACTAGATTATACATATGCAATCCAAACATTAGGAGAAAAATATATGCAATAAACTCAACCACATTATAATACTCACTACATTAACATAACAAATATCAGAAAAGAAACGGAGAAAAGTTCTAATCAAATCAGTTTGAGAAAGTTATATTTTGTTAATGTCAACACCCAGATCTATCATTCATCTTCCAAGTTCTATTTTTATCAAATTTTCACATTCTCTACCAAAACTTATAGCTGAACACCTTTTTTTCCTTAACCGCTGTCTTATTCTCCCTGACATCCTTCTTTATTGTCTCTAACTTGTTCCCCATCACTTCCATCCCACTTTTCATCTCCGTCTTTATGCCTATAAGATTAGTGAGAGCAGTTTGCAACTCCTTCGACTGAGACTTGGCTCGTTGCTCAACATACTCCATGTATGATGCGAAGGAAATAATTGTGAATATAGATGCAACAAGATGGAGTCCGCCTTGCTAGAAGCAGTTTTCTTTCTGTCAAAGCCAATGACGTATATGGGGTTGACCCATTTCTTTCGGACAATCAATAACTTACCAACTAATGCTAATAGTTTCAATAGTGTAGCTGAAAAAAAGAAAAAAAAATAAATCACTACCTCTTCGAAGGATTTGCCAATTAAAATTAAATGCCAAAACTATTCAAGCCTAAATAGCCAAATTTGCAGAAAGCAAAGTTCCTAACCTCTGAATGTATGCAACATTGACAGATTATAAGATAACATGTTCAACATGCTCTATCTTGATCAGTTGATAGATTTTACCCTTTGTCATGTCTCATGTTTGCTAGTATACACAAAAGTTTATGCTGCTATCAACTGATCAAGGTAAAGCATGCTGAACATGTTATCTTATAATCTGTCAATGTTGCATACATGCAGAGGTTAGGAGTTTTGCTTTCTGTAGATTTGGCTGTTTAGGTTGAATAGTTTTGGCATTTAATTTGAATTGGTAAATCCTTAGAAGAGGTAGTGATTTCATCTCTTTTTTTTTTTTCCAGCTACACTGTTGAAACTATTAGCATTAGCTGGTAAGTCGTTGATTGTCCAAAAGAAGTGGGTCAACCCTATATATGTCGTTGGCTTTGAAGGAAAAAAAAGTGGTTCTAGCATGGCTGACCTACTCCATCTTGTTTCCTCTATAATCACAATTATTTCCTTCACATCATACATGGGGTCTGTTGAGCAGTGAGCCAAGCCTCAGTCGGAGGAGTTGCAAACTGCTCTCACTAATCTTACAGCTAGCATGAAAAGCATGAAGATGGAGATGAAAAGTGGGATGGAAGTGCTGGGGAACAAGTTGGAGACGATAAAGAAGGATGTCAGGGAGAATACGAAAGTTTATGCTGCTATCAACTGATCCAGGTAGCGCATGCTGAACATGTTATCTTATAATCTGTCAATGTTGCATACATGCAGAGGTTAGGAGTTTTGCTTTCTGTAGATTTGGCTGTTTAGGTTGAATAGTTTTGGCATTTAATTTGAATTGGTAAATCCTTAGAAGAGGTAGTGATTTCATCTCTTTTTTTTTTTTCCAGCTACACTGTTGAAACTATTAGCATTAGCTGGTAAGTCGTTGATTGTCTAAAAAAAGTGGGTCAGCCCTATATATGTCGTTGGCTTTGAAGGAAAGAAAAGTGGTTCTAGCATGGCTGACTTGCTCCATCTTGTTTCCTCTATAATCACAATTATTTCCTTCACATCATACATGGGGTCTGTTGAGCAGTGATCCAAGCCTCAGTCGGAGGAGTTGCAAATTGCTCTCACTAATCTTA